TATCACTCATTTTAAGGGAAACAAGGATGCAAACAAACTTAAAGCTTGTAGATACATTAGGTATGTATCTTACGCCACGAAGGCATGCTAAGAATTTGCGAGAAGTACCTTATATACTCCTCCTTTTATAGGGCGACTGGGGATTAGACGACCCAGTCGCCAAATCCTTTTGGTGGAGAATCATCATTCACCACCTTTTTTTTAGTTCAGGCGCCACTGTAGAAGGCATTTGGTTATTTCAAAGCAGGAGTAATGAAAAATGAGCAATGCCCTCGCCGGGACTCGAATCTCGAAGCTCTCGAATACGCAAGTAACTTGCACCATTACATCACAAAGGCCTGCTAAGAAGGCGAAAGAAATGCCTTATATTCTCCCTCTTTTAAAGGCGACTGGGGATTAGGAACATCCACTAACTTTTCTAGTTCGGGCGCCACTGTAGAATTATTTGAATTTTGCGATGTGAGGAACAATGCTCTCGCCTGGACTCCTCGCCGGGACCTCTGGAATACGCGCCGAGTGTGCTGACCATTACACCTCAAAGGCATGCTAAGAAGGCGGGAAAAATATCTTGGAAAATATGTTTGTTTACTTTTCATACTAGGAAAAAATATCAAACATAGGAACTGATCTTAACTAGCTTGCATTTTATTTTAATAAGGATGCTTTTATCTTTAGAAATACCATTTCTCTGCAAAAAAACAAGTCATTTCTCAAAAAACGTTAGTGATACGATATTGTTAAAGTTCTGCTATGCAGAATACTCGTCAGATTCGAAAAGAGGATTTTATTGCAGAGCAGTGTAATTTTTATCAATTAAATTACGTATGCAAGGCCCCCAGACGGTATAGTGGTTAGGGGAGCCTGATTGCGTTACCGAAAGGTCCAGGTTCGAATCTCGAAGATGGCATGAATGTAAAAATTGTCTGTCCCTTCATAGGAGGCAAAGATGGCCCACCTATTAGGGGCCCCCATAATGAAGAGACCACCACATCTGGCTTTAGTAGTGGCCGATGCCGGCATAGGCAAGAGCCCGCCATGGGAAAAAAAAAAAAAAAAAAAAAAAAAGAAATACGTATGCAATTATTCTTCATAACATTTATACTTACAGAAGTATACGATTATGCATTATAATATTGGAATCTGAATTAAGTGGGATAGTTTGCAATTAGACAAGATATAGAAAAAGATGGAAAAGAAACATCGCAATAGGTCAGGGTGAAAATTATCTGTGTGTCTTTTTCTTTTAAAAACCTAATCTTAGCGTCGCTATATTATTCATACCTGAAAGCATTTTCTAAACTTTAGCTGAAAAAATACAGTTGTTTGGTTTCAAAATAATAATATTGCTGATCTTAAACGAACAGCTAAGCATAGAGTGCAGGGAGAAGACATGAGATATGGTTGTGAGTTTTAATGAGTTTTTAGCGTGATGAGTGAGTTAAAAGGTTAAGCGTGATTACAGAGATCAACGAGTAGATCGTGAGTCAGTTGTGCTTACTACTTCGACAGCTGGTAAATTCAGTTCCTGACCCTATATCTGAAAAAAAAATGTATCAGATTTATGTTCAGTGCCTTAATGTGAAAAAAGCTGTTTTATGCATCAAATTTGGCATTCTTTCTATTGAAACTCAGTATAATGGTTTGCTTTAAAGATTCAGCTGAATGTAATAATTTTACTGTTGCATGAGGATAAATAAAATCTGGGCGCGTTTCGGAAAATATTGCTACTAGTCACATCCATTCTTAAAAATCTAATATAAAAAGAAGAGCTAATTCATTTATTTACTCTAACCAACGCCGCCCTACAGGTATAGTGGTTAGCGTAACTGACTGCCGTGACAAAGGGTCCGGGTTCGAATCCCGGAGAAGGTATGGAGGTTTGTAAATGTATAGTGTACGTGCGGCATGGCGGCACCCTAAATATCCAGGGAGCCAGAAGTCCTCTCGACAGATTGGTAGTAAGGGAAGAAGGGTGGAAGCATTTCTACATTCATCTTGATGGAAATCCATTTGTTATTCATGGAAAGAATTAAGTCAGTTCACTTAAGTGATGTTAGGAGACAGACCACTAACATATCAATTTCATTTACAGAATGAATGAAAAGCTCTCATAAAAAAATAAAATAAAATAAATAAAAAATTAGTCAAGTTACACAAAACAAACTTAATTTTACAAAGGAATATATTGTAGCAAATGCCATCCAAATCTGCATGAGTATTTTCATATTTTTTTTCTTCCTGCAAAAGGAATTCGAACCATTTTCTCATGAAGGCATATCTCTCCCTTCAGAAAAGCATACCTTTCCGTAAGGAGATAGCCTTGATAAAATTTGGCAATGGAAAGAATCCAGTAATAAATATCCATTAAAGAAAGAACGTTGTTATTGCCGTTTCAAAGGTGAAAATCATCTCGCGTCAACTGCAAAAGTACTTTTAAGAGTTCGTTAAATAAAACATGATTTGGATGTTTTAAAATTTTCTGGAGAGAATTTAGTGTTCCATTTTAAATTTCTTAATCATCCTCTTTCTACACTTTTTTGATTTGAAAATAATTTGGAAAATTGTAAACAGCTTAAGTACTGTTGTAAAGACATTTGGATTTTTGATGCTGAGTGACGTGAAAAATGAGCAATGCCGTCACCGGGACTTGAACCACGGGCCTCTCGAATACGCGCCCAGGGTGGTGACCACTACATCACGAAGGCATACTAAGAAGGCGGGAGAAATACCTTATATACTCCTCATACAAAGGACCCAATCGCCAAAACCTGGTGGTGAACAATCATCATTCACCATCTTTTAGTTCGGGCGCCACTGTAGAGATATTAGGATTTTTGGAAGCAGAAGATGAGAAAAATGATCAGTGGCCTTACCAGGACTCGAACCAGGGACCTCTCGAATACGCGTCGAGCGTGCTGACCATTACACCACAAAGGCATGCTAAGAAGACTTTGAGGTTTCTCTTTCCTTAAATGTCACGACCTCCATTCGGGTTCGTTTCCCAAGGGAAAACAAGCATGCATTCGGAAGTTAGATTGATTTTTAATATAATTTTATTATTAACAGTAAAATTTTCTTCCGAGTTCAAATTTCTGCTGAAATTGTTGTTCAGTTACATTAAAGAATTGCAGGAGCCCTCTTATTTAGGGCTCCGCTGCGCTTCGGCTGGAATTATGATTTATCCCGTGTGCTGCGGCCCAATTTAAGCTGTGCAGTTCTGGATATTCAAATTGGAAAGTAAGACTCAAAAAGCGAGCGAAAGTCTGAAAGGTAATTTTTTACACGGGCGCAGCGCCACCTGGAGGAAGGTTTGACCTTCATGAACTTAACCGTCGATTGTAGTCGAACGAATGACTGCACAACCTATCGCAGTCAAATTCATCACGATCACGATTTGCGAAGCTCTTGCTTCCCGAAAACATTTCGCCCTTCGTTTGTTTAATTAAGTAGGAATCACGTTTCACTAAATTTCCGGCCAACTCTCATTCATACATTTTCATACGAACTTTGAATATCCGATAGTGGATTGGAAGCTACAGGTACCTGCTTCGTTTGAGAATTCGATGCGAATGACTCATTATTAGTGTTTTAATATTTTTTCCCCTCTGTTTTGCCTGAGGGTAAGAGCTGCAGAGATAGGCAGGTGTATGTTTTCCTCTATGCGTTCTAACGTTTACGCAAAGCTACAACATGCTTCGAAACTTTTTAATGAACTAAAGTCGATATCGTCAAGTCTTAAGTGGTAAGTTGTTTAAAATTTATGTTTTATGTTAATTTATTTTTGTGGAGTTCGAATTTTCGTGAGTTTTACATTTTGGTGTGTTCATTCAAAGTTTCAGTTTTTAAATTCAGTGCAAAACAAGTTGTTTCGCGCTGAAAGTTATTGTTATTTTCTTATACTACTTGCTGCTTGCTACTACTTATACTACAGCCCAGACGTTTCGTTTCGGCATTTTGCGGTGAAAACTTTAAAATTGTTGTCACCAAATATTATCGCCCTGTATTTTATTTAAAGAAATTAGATAATGAAGAATCTGCATAAATGTATGTATGCAGAGCCGGATTTAGACTTGATTAAGGTCCTAAGCTATCTGAGATACGGAGCCCTTTATACTATATTTATATATACCCTTTATACTATATTTATACTGTATTTTAATTTTGGGGAGCCCTAAGCTATAGCTTGTGCAGAGTATACGTAAATCCTGCACTGTATGTATGTTTCTCGCATTGTCATAAAACAATACTACTACCTAGAGCCATCAAATTTTGAATAACGTAATCCTCCACCCGAATATGGGATCTGCAACCAATTTGTAATTGTTTACTCCGATTCCAGGGAGTGGGCATATTGTAAGAAAAAATTATATCCAGCGTGCGGAACGTTTATCGAAATTCTAAATGAGATGACTTTTAATTATTTGTGATATGCTGTAGAACATGATTTTAATAAATAAAGTACGCCAAAAGTTAAAAAAGCCCCTCTGGGTATATCTGAGTTTATAATCTAATTCAGATATATAAATATAATATATTATATTTATATATCTGAATCTTCTATTTTTACACTGTTGCAAACGCAAGCTTTTGTTCACTTTACTCGGTTTCTGTATGTATCATAATGGCGAAACATACGCTGTTTTTCTTTCAAACTGCGCTTCTGATAACCCTTATATTAAAAAAGAATATACTAAGATAATTTTTTATTTCCTCCCCAAATTTTATGTTAAAAGAAAAGATGAAAGAGATTTGGTTATAGGGAAAGAAGCGCGGGGAAATGCCTGGATCCGTTGGCCGGAGAATTCTTTGGGACGATGCTGGTTAAAGATGTATTGTCACCTAATGACATCAAACCCTATGCCAACAACAAATCCAAGCCTATGCCTTTCGCTATGATAAGTTCTTGGAATTGATTTGATGTTACTGTTAGAAAAGTCAGGTAAGTTACAACAACAATGGCATTGGAAATAATCCATTAAGCATTGCGGTAATGAAACATTTTCAGTAATAAATGCCCCTGAAAAGCGAGTGTAAAGCTCGTGAAGTGAGAGATTAAAAATTCAGCACTGTTTATTACCTCTTGGGCTAATACCGACTATTTATTCAATATTCTAGTAGGATTTATTTCAAATTATTTTTATAGACACATCCATAAATAGAACAACACAAATAGCAAGTGCAAGATAAAGCGCAAAAATGAATTCAAAATTAAAATACCGCTTTGAATGGATTTTTCAGTATGTTCTTATATAAATTTTAAGTTTTAATTTAATGCAAATTAATTTGAAAACTGAGCGCTCAATAAGTGTTCCAAATCATTTTCCGGTGAAAGCTGCTAATATTTTCAAAACTCTGAAGTTGATGTGATGATGATTAAATATATGAAAGTGTACACAATCTGAAATCCATAGTGAGTATAATAATTTTGGTTATCATAGTAGAAAAGCATGAAAAGACTTTTTCTGTTAAGACCTCGACTGCAGTTCTATTATAGGCCGCCTATGTACAGTATATATAGATATATGTATTGTATACATATATCTCTGCAAGTATACATATATTTATGCATACTTGCAGAGACATTATACACGACAGAGTATACTTGTATATTTACAGAGATAACCGCCTGCAGTTGGCTGTCACCTATCACCGTTCAATATCTATGTTTGTTGCACATTTGTGTTATGTGTATATCGTCCAATTAAAAAATATTATTCATGTGCAAAGTTGAACATCTAAAGGACATTTTTGTTGTAGAGATTATAGAGTCTACTAGAGTCACTCTTATTCTACTAACGTGAATGTCGAGGTATCTAGTGAACTGGTAAGCGACTTATCGCTTAGTTGAAATAACAGGAAGCATAAATTTAAGAAGGGTTAACTACCCTTTATTTCACTCAAAATAAGATGAACAGTCGGCCCCTTTCTTCGGGCTTACAACAAGGCCTCCACTTAGGCTTAAACTCAAAAATAAGAAATGAATTAACTATAACTAACAGAGCTTGCTGAAGCGAAACAATCTAAGTAGTTGACCTTATTAAACAGCCGCTAATATAAAGCAACGTAATATACGGCCGATCGTAACAGCTGCTTGAGACTAGCCCGAAGGCAAAAACCGCTAATTAGGTTCCAAGCTCCTCCACGAAATAGTTGAACTTTCTTTAAACGCTTCTAACTCATTACATTCAAAGCGATTCTAAACCTCATCTGGAGAGCGTTGTAAGTTGAACGAGGGAACGATAAAAAGCAAATTAAATTAAAATAATGCTATGAAATTAAAATACACCTTACATGGTCGATTTGAACACCTCCCATATAGCACACTTAGTTGCTATAACGTTGCAGTGACATCTCAATGTTACATTTTCTTCACATTACGTTTGTGACCACGGTCCAACGTCGCAGAAATGTCACATTGTGATGTGAATGCCGCACAGATGTCACATACATGTTGCAGCAAATGTTTAATGTCACCACCAGAAATTTCGCAGCCTTCCCCAACCTGACCTTTCTTGACCTTACTCACGTAATTCTTCTATAATTGGAGGTATTCTTGCGCGCTGACCTTGCTCTCCCGAGTCATTGTTAAATGTTTCAATAAACCTTTCTACGAATAAATTATTTTTTACGCTAATAGATTGCGATTTTAGTTATTTCTTTTTTAATTATAAATACTGATATTTTACGAGCACCGGACAACACAAGATTTCATGGTATTTGCTTTTGGTAGTCAGATTCATATAACCTTCTTTCAAGCAAAACATCTTCAATATACGGAGCTTATATATATAAAAGCTTCGTATGTTGACGATGAAAGGCCGTGTTATGTATAAATCTCTCTTCCCCCTTATAAAACATACAAAATTTTGTATTTTGTATAGGAGTCATCTTATATTGGGTCTAAAACGCTGCATGCAGTGAGACCTGTTGCGGCAATCACCTTCTTTAAACGAACAGCTCTGAAAATGTTTAGTATATCTGAAAACATAATTAAATAACAGTTTTGGAGGTCAGGAACAGTCGGGTTCTCTAAGGTGACCAACTCTAAAGAAAATTAGCACAACCTAGAACTGTGGGTGGTCTTCAGGAGCAAAGCTGAATTGATCAGGTATCGCGTATTACACTCAATGGGTGGGGCCCACCAGCGGCCGAGCGGTAAGATCGCTGAACACTGGTAGTTCCGAGTTAAGTTCGATTCTAGGCGAATGGGCTGACTGCATGGGCGTTTTTAGTGGTTTTCCCCATGTGTAACATGTATACAAGCCATTTTACCTTTGAAAATCCTCCATGAAGGTATCCCTTCCCTTAGGCAGATAGCCTTAGTGTGCTTTGCCATTATTAACTAAACCAAACCAATCACGAGGTGCCATGCATACTAAGGGGCCCCATGATCACTGATTAATTTTATTAAAATATAAGTATACTTTGTGCTACAAGCTTTAAAGCTCTTCAAAGTTCACATTTAAGGTGGGAGACCGTTATTTCGTAGACACGCTACTGCTCAGGAGATTTCATTGCACATGGCACGAAGTATGTAATTTAATTTTTGCTTTCATTCACAAGCGGTTATAAGTGCGTTATGCGTTATTTATGTCTTTCAGTTCCTGAATTCATTAGCAGATTTAAAAACAGAATAGTTTCGTCTTTCTGAGAGTGCTAACCTATCGTAGTACTAACCTAAATAGTGCTAACCTATCGAATAAGTAAAATACTTGCATACTGTTCTGTGTGTATCACCTCTTCTGAAACTGTAGGATACATAAAACTGTAGAAACATTAGGTTTTTTTTTTTTTTTTTTTTTTAAAGCAGGCAATATGAAAAATTAGCAAACGTCTTCACCGAGAATCAAACCATGGACCTCTGATACCGGATCGGAGTGCTGACCACTACACTAGGAAGGCGGGAGAAATACCTTGCACACTTCCCCTTTTAAAGGGCCACTGGGTTTCTTTTTAGGGGAACCAATCGCCAAATCCTGGGTGTGGAGAGTCATCATCCAGAACCCTTTTAGTTCGGACGCCACTGTAGAGACATTAGGATTTTTTGGAAGCAAGAGAGATGAAAAATTAGCAAAGCCTTCGCCGGGAATCGAACTACTGACGTATAGAATACTGGCACAGCGTGCAGAACCACTACACCCCGAAGGCACGTTAGGAAGGCGGGAAAAAATACCTTATAAAACTAACTCAGATATTAAATTATATTCTATAATGAAAAAATTATTATCTGATTTTCCTACACCTGTAAAAATTAATTTGCTTTATTACGAATCGATGCTTTCGTAAATAAGCAATAGGGCAACTTCCCTAAGTCGACCACTTGCTGTTCGAGATGATTTTGGTCTTAGAGAGAAGCAGAGCTTCTTGCAGAGCTGATCATCTTAGAGAAGAAAATTATCAGCAATGTACTAAACATTACTTAGGCAAGTTCCCAGAAATCCTTTCTAGAGGATATTGCCAGTCGGAGAGATAAACGTGTTATTCACTATATTTTGGGGGGGGAGGGAGGTCGTTGCCAATAGTGGGCTTTAGCCGTTTATAGGCGTTGGCCACTACTAAAGCCGGAAGCAGTGGTATCTTCATTATTTTTTAATGGTCGGGCGTTTTATTTAATAGTCACTAGACTTGCGACACTACAAGGATCGGAAGTGGTGGCCGTTTCGTTATGGAAGCACCTAATAGGTGGCCAACGTTGCCTCCTATGAAGGTTCAGACAGTTACAACCATGCCTTTTCCAGGATT